AAAAGTTTTCTTGTGATAACCAAAAACAAACACATACACTCTTATTTAGTAATATGCAAAAACAGATAAAAAAACATTTCCTGGTTCTGTGTTTAATTTTTTTCACAACTAGTGCTAAAAATATAGATTCATTTTCCATGATTTCGGAAATACCTAATTTGCCCATGTCCCTTGCATTCTTTTCCTGGGGGAATGGGTGGAATTCAGAATTTTTAAAAATTATTTGCTTTTAACTTTGCCTTGCTTAGATTTATCATTTTGATTTAAAAAAAATATTTTTTAAACATTTAAAGAAATACATTCAGACTCAGTATGGGGTCTTATGAGACCTCAAGGATCATCTCCGCTCTTAACAGAGGATCCAGGTGATGACATCACCAGGTATCACTGCACAGCGTAGAATACTAATGCTGTATCATAGGGTAAAAGACACTTGTTTCTTGTCTTGTGCTGTTTTGACATAGAGCCACAGAGGTGCAGCAGCTTTCTGTGTGATCAGACACAGAAATTGTGATCAGCCAAACTGGGGGTTTACTGGGGAACTCAATCAGGGTCTCATTAGACACCTGGTGTCATCAATGATAATGTTGTGGGGTGTGACCAAATGTGGAAGTTAATCGGATGGGAGTCACATCCAGAACATACATTTCCTAATAGTGATGCTGCTATAAAGGCCAAAATATATACAATATTAATTCAGAAGCTTGCCCACAAAAAATACAGTGTTAGAACTTTCAAAGCTCCTTAAAATCACATATTACATGCGAACTGCAATACTTACCAATTAAATTGCATCCAGAGACACTACTCAAATGAATGCTTTGCTGTGGTCACTTTAAAGGGTTACCTGGTGTGGAGGGGCGTGGTGCTTAACCCAAAAGGAATATGGTCAGGACTCTAAATACCGGTACATTCAAATAAAAATAAGGAATTGTGGACACACCCAGAACATGCATTTCTTAAGAGTGGTGCTGCTGTCCAGACACAAATATATACAAAATACACATTAAGGGAACAGGAAAATAAAATAAAAAAATTGTCTTCTCAAAATCACCTATTTTAGCAAATAAATATGGGAATTTAGTCACACAGTATGGACGTATCTTGTTTAAGCCCACCACTGCTTCACAGTACTCCAGTAAACCAAAACATAAACCTCAGTTTACTCCTGACACCACAGCCACTACGGTTTATTAGAGCAGTTACTTTAGCAAACATACACGAGGTTACTAAATGAGGTTAGATATGGGCCTAGTCAAGCTTGAAGTAGTTAGTTGGGCTACTGAGAAAAAGAGTGTCACATTCTTATACAATCAGGATTTAATGGTTCTGCTCTTAGACCTGGAACATATTCATTCCTAATCTTCTCCACTGAGTCATATTCAGCAAATAAAGGCATGAAACTCGTAAAGTTTCCAGAAAGACAAGTACAAAGCATAGCAGCTGATGTCATATGATAGGAATTTGTTAACAACCTTGAAGGGTTCTCTATAAACCTGTCACTTGGCATTGATGTGAACTCATGTTGTGTCCTTATGCATATGGAATAAACTCTGGAGAGCAGATTGCTCCACACCTCTTGCTGTAGCCAAACCTAATTGTATATTGTAGATGTGTAATAATTGCTTCCCAATGTAGATAACTACATAATATGCTGTGTAAGCCCTTCAATGATGTTAATGCTATTCAATACATTCAACAGATCAAAATTCCAGTGTCAGGAACCATATCAGCTGGGTACCTCTATACCACGTCGGTCAGAGACAGCTTTAGTAAGAGGTGGGTACATGAAACATGTACATGTATGTAATAAAGTACTTCATTGTTTGCTTTTAGAAGTAAAATATATTTTTTTGTTATTATTTGTTGTATCAGACTTTTAAACTCATTGGATTAAATGTTAAATATTGTTCTTCCTTGCATTCGGATATTGCTTAGGACAAATGTTATTAAAAACATTCAAACCTTTCATTGCTTAGGTATGCATTCCTTAAGCAAAAAAAATCCCCCACAATTTAGTTTTATTGCTATCGTCACTTGAAAGGAGAATATTACATAATAGATTTGTTTCAAACATCCACCGCAGTCATTCCTTAACAAAATACATTAGAACACGTTATTTTGACATCTATTTAAAGATTTACACTAGGGTGGGAAGAAGCACATGAAAGGTATTTGATGATAACATGTTACAGAGGATTAGATCCTGGCTTTGAACCTGGATCTTCAGTAAAGGAGCTGCACATGCATAAATGAGATCTGTGTCATCTGTGTTTAGTATTACAGGAACGTGCTCTCTGTCTCTCTCTATAGATATATATATATTTTATTTATGTTCAATTAGCAATTTCCCTTTTGTTGTTTATTTTACTGGGTCCTTCTTAGAAGAAAAAAAATAATCTGTAACAGCTCAATATACCAGAGACAGGAGCGTTTTCACTCCACTTGGGCCCCCGTGGCTGGATTTCCTGGATGGGGGACGTCTGGGTAACGGGGGACAGGTTCTGAGGCTGCAGAGGAGTTGTGTCTGTCTGTCTGTCTGTCTGTCTGTCTGTCTGTCTCTTGATCATTCTTATTCTTAGTGCTTTGCATACTTTGTCTGTCCCCTTTGCTTTTCTTCTCTACTCCCTGCTTTCTCCTAAGTGGTGAGTCTTCCCTGTACCCTATCCCGCTTTTTGTTTGCTCATTATCCATTATGCCCTAATGAAACACATTAGCCTCTGGATTCAGTCCAAAGCTTTCCCTGCTCTGCCCGAGTCACATTATCTCACATCTTGAAAGTACAAAATGTATGCTGGCGATTACCCCACTTTGAACCAGCCCTATTTGTCACAATCAATTAAAGAAATTGATTATTTTGGTTATAATAAGAAGATTTATACTACTATTTGAAAGAAGAAGAAGTTATCGATGAAGGTGAGGACTTTATTTGGATGTATTTTATGAGAAATGTATTCTTCATGTCAAATTCAAATCTAAAATGTAAGTCTGAAGATAGAATCAAATCTAGGACAAACATTGCTCTCCAGGGAAAGATCGGATCTCATTCACAGTTTAGGAGTAGTATATTACCTGTTAAAGATTTTTTTTGTTTGGAATTTGGGGCTCGGTTGCTTTATTAAGATCCACAAAAATAACTATGGGTACTGTGATTGGCGATATTTTATAGACTAACCTTGAATATTAACATAGATCCTGCTCTCTGTTTTATAGATGGGATCTGCAAGAGGTCACTTTACAATTGAACAATGGACAGAGGATTCCTGTTTATAATTCAAATGATGACCATAGGGAAAAAGAACTAGAACAAGGACTATAAAGTGTGACGCAACAAAAGTCACATATTTTTGTAACTCGCTGTGAAAGGTTTTTTTATTTTATTATTATTATAAATATGTGCCAGAAAATGTACAAAATGTGTTTTATTCCAATCGTGCGCACACATGCTAAGGTTTGTAAATTACTGAGCTTATAAATTGGGGTGGGTGTGCTGTGTGTCATTCCAGACATCATCCACTTGTGGGGGGGGGGAGCACAAAACAATATTCAGGTGACTATCTTTAAAACGATATATCTGACAGTGAATTACACAATGTATATCTGTCTGCAGGTGATCTTGACATCCAAATGCTTTGTAGGTGGTTTACTTTAAAAACCTGTGCCATTTGGTGCTCCCACCATTTTAAAGATTGTCTCACTAAAAATAACTGCAATAGTTGTCTAGATAAAAAAAAATATATATATAAAGATTTATGGATTATTTCCTCATGGACAGGCTTTAGGTATATTGTTTGGGAGAGTGTGTGTTCTGGCACGTAATATGCTAATCTAATTTATGACATCACTTTGCCCAGCGTCAAGAAACCTAATACAAGCAAATTGTATAAATAGATGGATAGGCAAATAGGAATTGAATTGCTAAAAGTAAATATTTTGGAAATGCCAGAAAACCAGACTCACAAACATGGCATGCATATCTAGGAGTATATAAATAGCTGGACCTATATACCTGCCAAAGTGTACCAGCTATGAAGGTGACTTTGCTCTGTCCGGCTTTTTTTCTATATTATTTTACTGGAAAATGTACTGTCTAATTATCTTGCAGTGCAGCCGTTTTTACCTGTTTCTTGTTTTGCAAGATTTTCAAAGAACAAAGGCTGGGAATTTGACAGTAACCAAGTCACCTGCACATGTAACAGACAGAGATTAATGCAGCCTGTCATTTTCTCTCTATTGATCTTATTTTATTTAAAGTAGAAATGCCATTGGTAATTTTAAAAGTTCTTATGTAGTTTGTCTTTGTTGCACTAACTTGGCTCTCCCCAAGTCAAAAGGGTAATCTAGATGTGGACCTCGTGCTCACTGTGCCTAGAGTGGTGTTTGCTGCACCTCGCTGACGAGGCCCAAAGAAGGCTGAAATGATCATCTGGAATTGCCAGCATTTTGGTTCTGGACTGCCATTATTGGTGGGTGCTTTGGAACCGTTTCTCTCTGTAATAGCACAAGTGAGCAAAACCTTTTTTTTTTGAGGGGTTTTACCAAAGGCAAACTACTAAGTTCATCTAAGCTCTTGTACATTCTCAGAGTTTTTATATTCTTTGTTTTAATTATATATTGCACTGGAATTTCATACGTGCATTTTCCATAGAGCACCAGTACAACTCCTGTTCATTTACCAGGAGATTGCAAGAGGAAAATTGAGGTACAAAGGGGAATGGCTTCATAAAAGTATATCTACTTTCTCTTTCTCCCCCTCAAAAACAATCAGGCAAGGATAATAGGTTCAGTGGCCTAGAGGAACACCAACTCCCCTAGTATGCATACTAGAAGACCATGATATTTTCAATCCATAAACTCATGGTACTTACTCCCTACCAGGGCTACAAACAAAAACAATTGCTACATATTTCCCACTAACCTAGTTTTTAATACAATATATAAGAAAAGGTGAGAGCACACAAGTTATATAACTACCACAATGTAGCAACTCTGTGTGGCATCTATAAATAACAGAAAAAAAGACCATAGCATTGTACAGTAAACATATTAAAGTGTATAAGTGCTTTTTGGTCCAACTCACATGATTCTGGGCCACTTAAAATAAGCTGGCTCAGACTAGATGCTTAATTTGGAGGACCCAGTGGATGCAGACCTCACACAAACTACAAAATCCACTTTATCCGATGGTGACCGGCTGACGTCATGTCAGGACGCCCTACGTTTATTGGCATCCTTGCGTCCCGACGTGAAGACCATAATGGGTTGTTCCATCCTCGGAACCGTGGGTGTCATACACGTCGGACAGGGTGGCGAACTGACGGCATTTTTTCGAAGTCTCTCATTTTCAAATAGTATATACCATAGATATGGACATCATATATACTATAAAAGGATTATTTAAAATAAACAGGTTATTATACCTATTATGTAATAAATACACCCCTGAATACATATTTAAAGATAAACTACCATCAAATAAGGCAAGTAAAAAAGATTAAAAAAAACAAAACAAAACTATTTTAGGAACCTAAAATGGAAATGATGAGATAAATAAAAGCATAATTTGTAAAATACACACAATTGTCAAAATGCAATTATTAAAAAGGAAATATAATACAAAAAGCCGAGTTCATATACAGGAATTAATCTCAAATCAGCATGTAAGGCCTTAGGTAATAGGGTATCCAAAAAAAAAAAATCCACCTAATTTCACGTTTCACAAGACTATTAATATCCCCCTCCTCTCCAGTGTGTCTTAACATTTTCAATGTTTAGAAAACTAGTCCACTGGCTTCTCCATTATGGACCTCTAAAAAACATGTTTTGATACGCTATGTTATCTCTACAAAATGTTTTTAAATACCGTATTTTTCGCTCCATAAGACGCACCTCACCATAAGACGCACCTAGTTTTTAGAGGAGGAAACCCAGAAAAAAAAATATTCTGAACAAACTGTTCCATAGTGTTTCTTACCATGGGACAGTTTGTTCAGAATATTTTTTTTTCTCCCCTGTCCCATAATGATCTTTTAACCCCCCTTTCCTCTGTCCCATAGTGATTGTTAACCCCTCCTCCCCTGTCCCATAGTGTTCTTTAACCCCTCCTACCCTGTCCCATAGTGTTCTTTAACCCCTCCTCCCCTTGTCCATTAGTGTTCTGATCCCATAGTGTCCCCCCTCCCATTGTCCCATAGTGCACTTTCCCTCCCATAGTGTCCCCCCCTGCCCTTGTCCCATAGTGTCTCCCCCTCCCCTTGTCCCATAGTGTCCCCCCCTCCCCTTGTCCCATAGTGTCCCCCCTCCCCTTGTCCCATAGTGTCTCCCCTCCCTTTCTCCCATAGTGTCCCCCTCCCCTTGTCCCATAGTGTCTCCTCCCCTCCCCTTGTCCCATAGTGTCTCCTCCCCTCCCCTTGTCCCATAGTGTCTCCCCTCCCTTTCTCCCATAGTGTCTCCTCCCCTCCCTTTCTTAGTGTCCCATATAGTGTCTCCTCCCCTCCCCTTGTCCCATAATTACTTACCTGTCTTGGAGCGTGGGCCGGCTTCACAGCGCGCTCCGCGGTCCAGGAACTAATATTTCAGGTTCCGGTTTCCGGCGGGACTGAAAGGAAGTGTGCACACTCAGTGTGCACACTTCCTTTCAGTCCCGCCGGAAACCGGAACCTGAAATAGAAGTTCCTGGACCGCGGAGCGCGCTGTGAAGCCGGCCCACGCTCCAAGACAGGTAAGTAATTCTTCACATTCGCTCCATAAGACGCACAGACATTTCCCCTCACTTTTGAGGGGGAAAAAAGTGCGTCTTATGGAGCGAAAAATACGGTACAATAAATGTACAGAAGTAAGAATATGATACAAGTGAAGTGCTCTATCACCTGTGTGTCCATTGAAAATGTTAAGACACACTGGAGAGGAGAACATTAAAAATGTTAAGACACACTGGAGAGGAGGAGATATTAATATTTTAAGCAAATGTGAAATGAGCTGGATTTTTAAATTTGCTACATTATTACCTATTATTGAAGGCCACAAGAGCACTCCAATATGTAGATTAAATTTTTTGAATTGCATCCATCTATTTTTTTTATGTTCTATTGGATGCAAATTGAATTACTTTAGAAGGGACAGAGGGGTCAGTAGTTTTACACACTATTCATAGTTTACATTTGTAAAAAAAAAACAAAAAACTTTGGTTTCAGGAAAAAAAAGAAGTTAGTGCATTTGTCGTCTTAATTTCTCTAGTGAAATTGGAGGTTAAAATAGATTGAAGTTAGGAGCGCCTCTGAATATTAGGTTTGTTTTTTTAGGTATAATTTTCATTAGGGTCTCGTCTGGTCTTAATAGGTGCCAGTGTGTTTTGTTTTTTTTATAATTTTTTTTACATATCCGCTTTTATTATTGAAAAGTGTCTCTAGTGCATTTGGTTTTGTATGTTAAAAGTTAATTTCTTCCTATTTTCTTGATGGGATCAATGGTTTTGTTTAAGTTTTCATGTATTTTAGGAAGGATATATTACAGGAACCCCTTCTCACCTCCTTCTCACACTGTAACGCCCTTCTCTCCCTGCCCCCCTCCCCACACTGTAACCCATTCTCACCCTGCCCCCCTCCCCACACTGTAACCCCTTCACTACCTGTCCCCCATTCTCACCCCCTTCACTCCCTGTCCCTCCCCACACTGTTGTAACCATTCTCACCCCTTTACTCACTTTCACCCCCCCTCCCACACTATAACCCCCTCTCACCCCTTCACTCACTGCCCCCGTCCCCACACTATAACCTCTTCACTCACTGCCCCTGTTCCCACACTATAACCCCTTCTCTCCCCCCCTCCCCATACAATATTTCTAACTCATTTCATATTTAAAGGGACACTATAGTCACCTGAACAACTTCAGCTTAATGAGGTTGTTCAGGTGAGAACTATAGCTCCCTGCAGCCTCTCTCATGTAAACACTATTTTCTGTGAAAATACAGTGTTTACATTGAAAGCTAGGAACACCTCCAGTTGCAGTCACTCACAGTGAACCAGAGGGACTTCGGAGTTGGAGGCAATATACTGTGATTCAGTATCTCCTCCCTCTGCATGCAGACACTGAACTTTCCTCATAGAGATTCATTGATTCAATTCATCTCTATGAGGAAATGCTGATTGGCCAGGGCTGTGTTTGAATCATGCTGGCTCTGCCCCGATCTGCCTCCTTGTCAGTCTCAGCCAATCCTATGGGGAAGCATTGTGATTGGATCAGGCTACAACTTCTAATGATGTCAGCAGACTTTTTTTTAGGCAAACAGCATGCAGAGTTACAGCTTCTGGCTTGAATACAGTAAGAATTTTACTATATTTATGGAGGCATGAGGGGCACAGGGGGGCTAGATGGTGGTGTAAACATTATAGGGTCAGGAATACATGTAGTTGCACTGGTGACTATAGTGTCCCTTTAACAGTTTTTATATACAAATTGTCTGCACTATATTTGTATTTAATGTGTCCCAAATTGGTTTGCGGAATTCTGGATTCAAAGTATATTTATTTTGTTTCTTGCGCACCATTATATTGTTTTTGTATTTGCTGCCAAGTATCACCACTGTATAATTGTAAAGTGCTGCAGAATATGTTGAAGTTCTATAAATAATAAATCAGATAAAGTGGAAAATACCTTTATTATAAACAGCTTTAGAACTGCACAGAAATTTTTTTTCTCATGCCTGCAAAAATACATCAGTAGAATTTATTTTTTTCCAATTAATAAAGGAATACAAAGCACATTTTAAACAGGCTGTTTATAATTTACAAACTTTAATAGATCTATACAAAAACATTCAATTGATTTAAAATTACTGTACAAAAAAGGAAAACCACATAAGGCACAACAGAAATACATAAAAAAGTCAAACATTGCAGGTTTCAGAGCAGCCAATTGCAAGAAAACTGGCATTGTAACAATTTTAGAAAATGCTAAATCCCATTTCTTTCCCCCAATAAGTTTCTACAACACCGCAAAGAGCAGCCAAATACCAGAAGGTAACAATGCTAAGGAGCCAAAATGTATGGAGGCTTTGAACTTGTATAGCACAAGCAAAATGTACATTTCTTCAAGCAATGGCCTACAAACTAGTCCTCATATACCTTCAAAACTTTGTGGTTTAACAATTCTGCTCCAATGAAACCTACAATGTCCTGGGTGTAGAAGTGGCAGGAGGACAATTGTGTTTGAGAATATTGGGAGTTACTGAAGATTAATTGTTGGGCAGTTCTAATAGATGATTTAACACTATGAAAAACTGAGGAGTGGTTCTTAAAAAACTACTTTTAAAGCTCTGTTTCAGAATTGGCATTTCTACAAAACTGCCACTGTGTCGCAGCTTATATAGCCTGTTAGTCTCCCTTAAATAGAATTACCGAACAGAAACTATTGTCGTAATGCTCAGAAGAATCAGACTAATAGTTTTTGTTGTGTGTGTTTTAAGTGGAATGTGAATGAGGAAGTATTTTGGTTTGTAAACCTATTCTAGGATAACTTACAAAAAAAAAAAAATAAAGCAGTTCAAAACATAAAAAAAAAGTGGGTTAAAAGAGAGAATTACAAAAGCAAGATGTCAGGGCTTAAAAAGAAGTTGGAGCATTAACTTTTTTTTCCTCTCAAAACTTCGAGTTTAATGAATGCAAAATAAATTTTTCTATTACACCTAGACACAGAATCTACGCTGCCAGCAGTGTTAAGGTAAAAGGGAATAGCCATGGCCCGGTATTGATAGGTAACCTTTAGTCTTACAGCATCACAGTAAATCTGGGAGCTGCAAAGACCCTTTTTAGTGACAAAGGAATAACAAAAAAAAAACCTCAAAAACAAAGTAAAAAATTAATTAAGGAAAAAATAAAATAAAAGAATTCAATGTCCATTTCCAAAACGAATCAAAAGTTGACTGAAAAGTAGCACTGCTTCACAAATGCGAAAACAGTGCCATGCTAAAATTAAATAGAACAGTGGGGGAATGTAAAATTAATGAAAGGTAGGCATTTGTTTTAGTGCTATAGGAGATTTTTTTTTTTTATATAAAAACAACCTCAGATAAACGTTGGCATTGCACATAGGAGTTAAATATAAAATAAAAATGTATAGATAATTTTATATATGTACATGTTTCTGCCAGACACATTTTATTTGATTGTGCCTGAATATTTCATTACTCAACTCCATATGCCTGCATTCAACGTGATACAAATATATATATGTACATTCTTTGCTTACAAACACTTGACAACAGTTCAAGTATTAACGTATCTGCTTGAAGCATATCAGATGAAAAAAAAAAAAAAAAAAGCACTTTAGACATTTCACAGATGACACGGATTTAAACTACAGCAAAAGCCAACAGCTTCAACAGCTTTCTGCCTCACTGCAGCCAATAAGAATTATGCCAAACAAACAAAAAGCTCTGAACTGGCATCATTACATGGTAATAGATCTTTGCATGTAGCCAAGGTATCAACACACCTAGGAGATTGCTTATAGAAAACGGTGTAGGTGGAATTTGCTATGGTTTTAGCTTTCATCGTTTCAGACTTGTGTACACAGGCAGTACATTAATATATTGTTTCTACACGAGTAGTACCCAAGGTCATGGAACTCCTGTATTGGACAGGGTACTTGAGTTACACATTTATTGATGTGAGCCAATTCACAAAGAAGTGACCAACAGACTATGAATTGAAGGCACTTTGGCAACTGAAAGATGGGTTCTAACCATTCCTGGAAGCATTGAGATATAGAACAGGTTTTACCCAGCAGACAGATGTTCTATGCAACTCTGAATCACATCAATATAAAACTCCTCAAAGTAAGCTACGATCAAAGTCCTAGATTTAAGCAAAATTGTTTACTGGTGCATAGTGAATGTACAAAAGATTAATCCCCCTAAATCAACTGTGTGTGCTCCAAAAAGTTGAATATTGTATGAGGCAAAAAGTAGAGGAGTTTGAACACCAAGCTACTCTTAAAGTACAAAAGGTTTTCTATTTAATAATCCATTATAGTGCAAATATTTGTTCCTGGATCATCTGGCTGCTCTTGGGGTACTCTATTTTAACCACAACTCCAACAAAAAGTGGATCATGAGGAACTGAACACATTGTTAGTATGAATATCAAGAAATTGAAAGGTTCACCACCACACAATTACTGGAGTGATTTCACAGCAGAGGTCTTCATAGAAATGTGGACCATCCCATAACCAACTCATAAAAATTGTACCCAACCCAAAGCATGGCAAAGAGATCCATACATTTACTGGGCAAGGAGGACTGCTTGTTTTTACTTTCATAACAGACAAAAATGATGGTGGGAGTTCAAGCACTATGTGAAGAATGTCAGACAGCTAGAAAAACAAGACGTTAGAAAGAAAAAAAAAAAAATAT